ACATGTCATTGCAGATATTCTTCCCAATAGTAGTTTTTGGTCAGAAATCATATATATCTATCTTTATATATTAGATATGCAGTTTATATATTATAAATATTTTACCACAATGCACACAATGATGGAACCTCCAGAAGAGGCCAGAAATATATTTTGAATATTGAATCTCTAATGTTTGAGATTATTGATGTTGGATTAACTACTCGATGGACTGATCGTATTAGTTTGACGAGTTAGTTACTCTCAAAAGGGAGATTATTTAACTGCTCGGTTGGTTAATCGTCATTTTAGTGAGTTAGTTATCTTAACATCAGGTGAAGAAGTTAAAATAACCTATTTATAAATTAGATGGACAGTATAATTATCTCATGATGATCCTCGACATTATAAACATGAAGTGCAAGAGATACCAGATGTTCACCTGACCGAATGTATAAATATATCTCATATAAAAGGCTGTTAAAGCTAAGAATTTGATAATGTGTCCCTGAAGGACTATCTATCACTATTTGCCAGTTGAATGTCTATTTGATGAGTGATAGAACCATCGATTCCAAATGATAAAAATGCTCGTAAACGACAAGGTTTAAATTTATAGAGATGGCAAATACAAGTGATTATAATTCATAAGATTTTTGAACTGGAATAATTTTCCATTACGGTGAATTAACTTCCAGAATAAGTATATGAATACTTGGGACACTTAGTGTGAGATCTCATTACCAAAGAACATGGAATCGATCAGCAATAAAATATCGACATGAAAATTGCTTATGCTGCAACAGTAAATAAATGAAAATGAGGATCATGAAATAAAAGTCTGCTGTAGATGCAGACAATAAACTTATTAGCCACAACAAATGAAAAGACGCAATACACACTTGATGATGTGTACTTAGAATTAAAATTGCTTGCGAACTAGAAATTTCGCAAGTGATATACTGGCTAGATTTTGGCAGGTGATTGTGCAAAACATTATCGAGTAACCTCTTTGTTGCCCAAGTTTTTCCCAAAATCCGGTTTATCTTGTGGTGGATGAAAAGGAAAATCTTCCGTTACTTGCTAAATCTTGTAGCAAATGAAGATAAGAAATGTGTCTCTAAAATATAGTGATCACTTAATACGTGATACTTGATATTTAATAATGACGTCTATATGAAATCTACAAATGATTAAAAAAGGGACATGAATTCTCGAGAAATTAATTCAAAAGACTTGCGCAAGTTATAGTGTCTTCATGTGTCTAGATGTTTAGGTTCATATTTTTTAATGTAATAGATATGCTATGTTTGTTTTTATGTAGATATGTTATGTTTGTTTGTAACATGACTTTCTATCTGTTTTTATAATCATACTTGAATGATAGGATGATAACAAATACTAGAGTGAATATTCATAAGCAATTTTGTTAGCACCGAACTCTTGTAGAGTTTCAAAAGACTGAATATTATCGAAACTTATCACGAAGTTCGAATAGCCTGAATATAAATAAACTCCTGAAGAGTTATATCATAGTTATGAACACTTCTAAGGAAGTTCAAAAGGTTACTACTTGCCTGAAGCAAGGATAATGAAAGATCTTGAGTAGAATCTTGGTCTAAATAGTTTGACCTTTGTATATTCAACACCCGTTAAACAACCATGAACCTGGTCAATAGTTTGGCATGCGACGAGAAGATTACAAGTGGCGTACTTAATAGGGGGAGTAACTCATGCTGTACTCTTTTTCCCTTGATCGAGGTTTTGCCCCAATGGGTTTTCCTGACAATGTTTTTAACGAGGCAGCGTCACATTCGGAAGTGTACTCTTTTTCCTTCACTAGGGTTTTATCCCAAAGGGTTTTTCCTAGTATCACGGGCTAACTCTTTTATAAGTTAAAACTGTGCGGTACTAGCACTCTAGATCACTAACAACGAATGCTAGCTCAGTCTAACCCTTAAAACCTTTTAAACTCTTGAAAAGAACCAAGTAGGAAAGTTGAAGGGTTAAAGAAATAAAGGAGCAAAGGATAAGGGTTTAGAGAGAGTTTGAGAGAACTTATGAACTAGAATTCAAAATTAAACTCTTCATAGTTTACAAGGGGGGGGGGGGAGGCTTGGGGTATTTACAGTTGCCAACCTAAACCCTCAAGGTTCTAGATAATTCTAAATCTAAACTATTCTAGAACAATATCTCTTATTCTAATCAATTCTACAAACTTCTATTTAATTCTAAATTATTCTAGAGTCTCCTAGACATTTCTACATTGATCTACACAATTTTAATCTAATTTCACAAGAATTTAGAAAATTTCAAGATATTCTAGAGAATTCCAGAACTGGGCTTGACCCAAAAAGTCTAATTGGACCTAGATCCATAAAAATTATTGGGCCAAATTACTTTGATTTGATAATATTTGGGTCGTATCACTCTCCTCCACCTGAATGGGGCATCGTCCCTGATGCCATGCGACCTGACTCCTCATTTTCACGGAAACTGTAAGCTATGGCGGCTAGTTTACTATGAGATGGACAGTCACGAACCAAATGAGATCCTCCACATAGAAAGCAACCCTCAAATTTTCTTTGTTTCTCTGCTTTTGACTTCTCTTTGTTGGAGGCACTATTTGCTCCTTCAAATGTTTTCTGATAGGAGGTCATGTCGTTTTCTCTACCTGTATCACTGAAAAATTTCTTACCTGTGCCTTTATAGCTATTATTGTTCTAAAACTCCATAAGAGATTTCGTGACTCGCATAGCTTGTTTAACATCTCGAACATCCCTCCATTGTAGCTCTAGTTTAGCCCAATGATTAAGACCATCCATAAACGTAAACAAAGCGTCTTTGGGTGAGAGATTAAGAATTTCGAGCATGAAATCAGAGAACTCTTGCACATATTCCCTGATGTGGCCCTCCTTGTGGTGTAGGCAACGAAGTTTACCTCGAGCTTCGTTTTCAGCATCAGCTGGGAGGAATTGTTTCTTAAATTCCTCCTTAAATCCTTCCCAAGTAGTGAAGACTGGTCTTCTTTCCCTATGGTTTCATCATACGTTTCCACCAAGATAGAACATTATCTTTTAGATAACAAGAGGCTTAATAGAGTCTTATCGAATCGTCCGTCAAGCTCATAGCGCCAAAGTACCTCTCAAGTCCATGGAGAAAATTTTTTACATCCCTTGCCTTGCGACTACCAGCATAAACATCTAGTTTTGGTGCATCAACCATTGGAGTTGGCCCTCCAACTCCAGTCATCCCTTGAGCACATAGAGTATCCACTCGTACCTTGAGTAGCTCCGTTTGCGCCCCATAAGCTCAAACTCACCCCTGAGTTTGAGCACATTACCTTGGAACATGGTGACCATGGCTGCATTTTCCTTGCTAGCCTTAGTGACCGTCTCAAACACCTTGTTGAGTGCCCCAAGCATCTCTTCACGCATCTGTTGCATGATCTCTTATAATTCACGCTTGAATTACTCCATGCATTCCTTAGACATAACTTCTACCGTGGAAGGATGCTCTTCCCAACGATCATGATGGTTGGCCACGGCTAACTCCACCTTGGCTAGCCGTTTCTCAAAGTCGACTATAGGCTCGCGAACAATAGAATTGTCCCTATGGGTTCCCCTTCAAGAATAAATCCTCTCCAACTCACGAGAAACATGATCACCACTCTCAACCTTTATACCTGGAACAACCACCAGTGGACTAGACACGATGCTCAAAATTTAATAACAAACGGAAGCGTATGTATCGAGCCGAAGCTCTGATACCAACTGTCACGGGCTAACTCTTTTATAAGTTAAAACCGTGCGGCACTAGCACTCTAGACCACTAACAACAAATGCTAGCTCAGCCTAACCATTAAAACCTTCAAAAGTCTTGAAAAGAACCAAGTAGCAAAGTTGAAGGGTTAAAGAAATGAAGGAGGAAAGGATAAGGGTTTAAAGAGAGCTTGAGAGAACTTATGAACTAGAATTCAAACCTTAAACTCTTCATAGTTTACAAAGGGGGGCTTGGGGTATTTATAGTTGCCAACCTAAACCCTCAAGATTCTAGATAATTCTAAATCTAAAATATTCTAGAACTATACCTCTTATTCTAATCAATTCTACAAACTTCCATTTAATTCTAAACTATTCTAGAGCCTCTCAGACATTTGTACATTGATCAACACAATATTAATCTAATTCCACAAGAATCTAGAAAATTCCAAGATATTCTAGAATCTTCCAGAATTGGGCTTGACCCAAAAAGTCTAATTGGGCCTAGATCCATCAAAATTATCGGGCCAAATTACTTACTTTGATTTGATAACATTTGGGCCGTGTCACAGTAAGGTTTTAACGAGACATTATTTCGCAAATATGGACATTCAAAGGAGCAGTGTCATGAAATATTTGATTTGATTTGATTGAATGTCCACAAATAATATATATTATTCTATTCACAATCAAGGAGATATGATTCTGTAATATTTAGCATTAATGACAGGTGATTCATTTTCCACAGTTTGATCCCCTACTTCTTATATAAATAAGGAGGTCATTCATGCTTCAAAATACAGTTGAATACAAATCTCTTATCTCTCTCTACTCTCTTGTCTCTCCTCTTTGTTCTTATGCTTAGTTTCATATTAGTAGTTGGCATTAATTTTATAACACTTATTATATTCTCGTAAAATGAAATAATTGGTGATTTCATAAGCCCTTATTTTTGGGAGTATTTTATTAACTGTTTTAATTGTTAGGAAGTGTTAATGTTATACTGATTACATGTGGTAACTATAACACAAACACACACGACGGAAGTGTTCATTACTTCTCGGTTTAATTTCGATCTTTGACTCATGCTAACTGATTAAAGTTAGTAAAAACAAAATTTACGAACAGTATAATTTAATTTATAATAGAATACCATATAATACTTTAGGTATCTTTCTTTAATATAGCATGTATCCTTAAAAAAAAAAACAGCAATGAAGACAAAAAGTAAAAAATTTGAAAGTCAGCTGTTGGATCTCTGGGCTCTTAACTAAAACGCTGGTAAGCGCTAAAAGCATTCCCATTTCTCCCGTCACAAGACACCACCACCAAAATGACACCAAATTGGATGAGAAACAAAGGAGTGGGAAAAAAATGGAGGAGACTTTAATTAATGGAAAAAGGTAAAAAAAAAGAAAAAAGATAGAAAAATCCAAAAGTGCCCACCTCTCCCGCTAAACAGCCAGCCCAGTCGGCCACACACGGTGGGTGGCCAACATGGCCAAAAAAAGGCGACAAAAAAATTGAAACATCGAAGGAAGAAGAGTGTGGAAATAGAATTCCTCCTCCCTCTACTCCTACCCTTTCTGTCTAGTGTGTGTGTGCGTGAGAGAGAAAGAGTGGTAGGAGTCGGATGGGTTGATGATGATGAGGATGGATGGGGTGGGGGGTGGGGGGTGGGGGTGGGGTGGTGTACTGGTAGAGTAGTTGTGAGGTGCACCGCTCATCCCATGCGCACCCCATCTACAACAATACAACCACAACAACAAAATACTACATCATCAACCATCATCATCTGATTCATCTGATTCATTATCCATGAATTATGGCATAAAAATCCACCCACCTTCCCCCAAATCCCCCCACCCAACCGCCACCCCCTTTTTCCACTCCCCCACTACTACTTCCACTCCCCACCTATTCCTGCTGCCCACATCCTCCTCCTAATTTTAATGCTTCTTTCTCTTTTCCATTTTCTTTGTCCTCATCATCATAATTGATTTTTCACCCCCATCTACCACCACCGTCACCACCACCACCACCACCACTGGCCTAACCGGCTAACTCCCCTACATCCCTTTTGTTCTGCCCCCACCTTCCCTTCAATTTTCATTTATAGCAAAGCCCACTTGTTTCTTTGATCTCAAATTTCTAATCTTTATCTTTCTCTGACCATCATGTTTCATTTGCTTTGCCTTCACCGCCCCATTTCTTTCTCTCTTGGGTTGTTAGCTCAGCCGGTGTTCTGTTAACAGACCCAACTATACTCTGTTTCTTTGGCTTGCTTGCAAGGCGACGGTGAAGATTCGATTTTTTTGGGATTTGGTTCTAGCCTTCTAGATATGTCTACCGCCATCGCGGCCGTCTCCCCATCTGCAGCTCCGGATACTACTGCCATCGAGGTCGTTGTTGAGAAGCCTGTTCGGAAATTTCCGCCGCCGTGCTGGACCCAAGAGGAGACTTTAGCGTTGATAGACGCCTACCGTGAGAGGTGGTATGCCCTTCGGCGGGGATACCTTCGGACGGCAGACTGGGATGCTGTGGCTGCAGCCGTTACCAGCCGATGCCCAGGTGCTTCTCCGGCTAAGACGTCTGCCCAGTGCCGGCATAAGATGGAGAAGCTACGTCAACGCTACCGTGCCGAGAAGCAGCGGTCGTTGACCTACCCTGTCGGCCGGTTTTTCTCATCTTGGTTTTTCTTTGAGAACATGGACGCCATGGAGAATGGAACCACTGTTTCTGCTGCTGGATCGAATCAGGAGTCCGAAAATCTTGATGTTTCTGGTAATGAATCTCGGCTGAAATCATTTCTTGATCAGAATATAGTGAAATTGAAGCTTAATCCTAAAAAAGGGTCAAAGCTTCCTAATGGTATAAGTCCTAATTTTGGTTTAGGCCAGGGGGTTAGAGCTAATCATTCCTCGAAAAATGTTGAGGTGAAGGTGAATACTGATTTTGTGCCAAAGGCTCTAAATGGATATAATGCTTTTCTAGACCCGGGATCTGATAAAGGTGATGAAGGAATGGGTTTTCGTGGTGGGTTTGGTGTTAAGAGTTTCGACGAGGGTCTTGTGGGAGCTCCAGTGTTTAAATTTAAGAACTTTGGAAATGCTTTTGCGAATTCAAGAAATGGTTTTGATGCTAGTAATGAGTTCACTATGGCATCATTGGGCGATGAGAGTTCCATGCCACCACGAGTTAGATTAAAGAGAAAAGGGAGGATAGATGGGAGTCTAAGTGGAAATATTAGCTATGGTGTGGTGAATAATGATCATGATGATTCCAAGAATGGACTCTGGGTGCCGGTTGGGACAAGGGAAAATTACGGTGGAAATTTGGAATATGATCTGCGGGGTATGAATGGCTTTCAGAGTTCTTCCAAAATGGGATTTGAGAAGCGAGTGGCGGGTAGTGATCCCTCGAGCAACGGTAATAGAGGGAGGAGCGCAATTGATGATATGGTTTCAGCAATTAAAATGTTGGGAGAGGGATTCATCAAGATGGAAAATATGAAGATGGAGATGGCTAGGGAAATTGAGAAAAATAGAATGGAGATGGAGGTAAAGCGGAATGAGATGATACTCGAGTCACAGCGCCAAATTGTTGATGCTCTTGCAAAGGGATTAGTCGAGATGAAGAGCAAGAAATTGAAGAAGAATGCCACAGTGCCAGAAACGCAATGAAAAATTAGATCCTTCCGGATATATGATTTATTGGTATGTCCCTTGGTAATCAAATTCCCTTCAGCTTGGGAAATGTGATCACTACTTAGGTAAAGTGGATTTACTCATCTAGGTAGATTCTGCTACTGTTATTTCGGTAGCTCTTAGTTCTAATTTTTCTGGTAAAAATTTAGATGTATTTAGATGTTGAGGTTATATTGTTCTTTGCATAGTATTTCTTCTCGATACAGGATGTGTTTCCACAATACATTGTAAATAATTGTAATATGAAGTGTGAGGCAAGGAGGTTTAAATCTTTCTAGGCTTCTACTGGCACTTCTCTTATAGATGAAGTTATTTCTTTGTTAGTATGTGAAAAATATCAGCTTTGTGCGTGCTCTTGATTGTTAAGATCTTCTTGATTAAGAAAATCAATCATATATTGTGAAGAGCTCAGTATTTAAGAAGGTGCTGGATTTATAGACATATTTCTCATTATGTGAAGCAATTGTAACACGATACCTTTCCATATGCACTGCATGGTTTTCTTTCATTAATGACTTCTTTAGGCCTCTGCACTTCTGAACTATAGTTACACTTTAAGCTTCTTGAAAAACAAAGGGTTTCCGTTGGTGATTGGAGTGTCAAGTTGTCAACACCTTCCTAAAAAACACTTTGATTACTTTTTTAGAAGTCTTGCTATCTGGATAATGGACATACTCTGCTCCCGAAGTCGATATTCTTGCTCTGTTTTCTTTTATTTGCAGTCTGCAGATTTGTTTCTTCTATCCAACTAAACTTTTCAACCATCGTTGCCTTCCTAAAATTGTTTGTTTATATATATATATATATGTGTGTGTGTGTGTGTGTGTATGCTGCTTCAATCTAGTTTTACGACTTTCTTGACCTTCTAATTCAACAATTTAGCTTAAGCAACGATTCCCATGGAATAGTTCTGTTCTCTGGGATTTAATACCAAAAAGGAATTGTGGAAAAAAGCAGTTTGGCCATCACATGTTATCTGCAAATCACTTGTTTCTCTGCCCAGGTACAGATTCACTTCTTTTGGTGGCATGATTATGTTTCTGTATTGAAGTTCTTTGAATTCAGTTTTAGAGCTTCCTTTTCTTTTCTCCAATGCTCAACTCTATTGCTAGAACTACAATTTCGGTATTGACGATCCTGTCAACATGATTGATATTATGTTGATGTCTTGAAGATATGCAGTAAACATTTAACTTGTAAGTTAGCCGTTTCATCTGCAAATTTTGGCATCTTCTTCCAAAGAAACCGTCATCCTGTATTTGTTATCAATTGTGAACCTGCCAATCATTTCTATTGGCACATTTCTGTGTATGTTATATACTGCACTATCCGAGGTCGCTGCGAACAGATCTTCCTGGTCATTGTTCATGTATTTTCTGTTATGAATGTTTTTGGTCATGATAGGATGAGGAGCTATTGTAATAAATAAGGCAAGATCAGAATCTAATGGATATCAGGAAGTTCTGCGGAAAATCACAAATGTAAGGGCAAAACTGCCTAGAAGTATATTAACAATTGGTAAGAATCTAACAGCATGGTTCGGCGGGAAATGCTCGCTAGAGGCTATAGCTGCTACCAAGTTTTAATGTTAGGCAAGAATGAAAAACAAACAAAAGGTGGTTCCTGTCATTGTAGAACTTGGATATCCAGCTTTGTTTGCTGAGCTGTAGTAGCGGAAGTGTTTGTGCCTTCGGCACCGCCTAAAGTCTCAGAGCATTCTTCCACATCTTCTGCCTGATATGTGGAGTGAACACCATACAACACATAGAACAGAGTGATAAAACATGCCCAAACGCCAAACCGAATGTAGGAAAGCTTCTTCAACGTGGCCATGAGAAAAACGTTGAGGAAGACGGATACTGCAGCCGGCCAAGGCATGAAGGGCACAGACCAACTGCGAGATTCACCGGGAGGATGATGTTGATGGCATGCCGGGGCCATGATATAAAACTGGAAAAAGGCGGTGATGATGATCATCAGCCCACCAAATAATGGTAGTCCCCACCATTGTCGTCTGAGTTTCCATGAAATGGAGAATCCAATAGAGATACAGGTGAGGAAGAAGAGGTAGGCAAGAGTCTTGAATGGAGGGTTGTTGTTGATGATTACGCATCTGCGGTAGATCAGAGCATTGGCCACTAGGTAGAACACCAGAAGGGTCCCTATGGAGATGATTTCGATCACGATTTCCAGTTCTGTGAAAAGTGCTATTGATGCCTGGCAAATCCCTGCAATATTTAGCATTTGGGATTCTAATCATTCTTCCATAATGCCATTACCATTTGGTTCCTCTACCAGAAAAAAAGAGACGAAAATAATAATAATACAGCCACTTGGTCCACCTTTTAAGAAAGTACTCATTAGTAACGTTGCTCTATTCTTTAATTAATAGGCACTCCTGTCTTTATTATAAGTCATTTTGATTTTGTTTAAGGTTTAATCTAAAATGTCTTTTTAATTGAATGAAAAACCTTAAAAATATTTTTTTACATTTGTTGTGTTCTCCTAATTATTATGAAATATTTTTAAAGTTTTTATTCCAATTAAAAAGACAAAATCAAAATGTCTTATAATAAGGACCGGAGAGAGAGCATCTCTTAACAATGTCTTAAAAAGTGATCAAACAGACTCATTTTTTAGGTAACCATATAAATAGTAAATTGATTTAGTGAAATGCAATACCTAAAAATACGTCACGCAAAAATATGTGAAAGAACCAAATCAATCACGAGGCTTAATAAACTGAAATATGATATGCTACATCATTCACTTTATAATCCAACTCAATTCATTTTTTTGAGATTTTTCTTCATTTACATACGTATTTATTACACTACATGAAAATATATCAATCTGTTATTCATAAAATTATATTGTATCGTGTTACTAATTAAACACATGAATAATGAAAATTATATTGTTCTCTCTCTCTCTCTCTCGCTCTCTCTTCTTTTTAAATAGATGTTCATATGCATATTGCTATTTGTCTTGATGTTACCTATTATACTTTAAAATGTGGAGAGGTGAAAATTAGATACTTTGGAGGGAAAGGTTCAATCCTAGAACTAGCGCACTACAGTGGCTTTCCATAAACTATCTACATCATCGGCCTTCATGATATCCTAGGAGACAGATTTTGACAATTGACCTTACTCAAAGCATCAGATTGACATGAATGAAAACAGAGGAATACTAAATCAAATTTAGAGAGCCAATGAAGAAGAGACAAGCATATGTTGCTTCATCATGATAAGAGAGAAAAGACTTTTTTCCATTGATTTCATGATCAAATGCTTTTATACACAACAGAAATCACGGAAAGGGAGTCAAAATAAATGATCATTTCAGAAAGGATTGAATAATATTTTGTTCCCAACAAGAAGGGGAAAATATCATTTCCAACCTCGGATCATGGATTATGTTCATATCCATTTCTTGCTGTTCAAGAAAATAAGGACCCCCTCTAAAATGAAACTTAAATTGGTTATTGCTACAATGTAATTTCCATTTCTCAGAGTGATTAGAAAAAATACCTCCTTTAAGAACTATATATATACTTATAAAAAAGTATTTGAGATTTCAAATTTGATAAAAGTAATAATTTATAATGAACTTCAGATACAAATAAAAGCAACTATACAATGTCAGTACTTAAACTAATTCACAAGAAGAAAGCTAAGAAAGAAAAGAAGAAGATTACCCAAGAAAATGGTAGCATTCAAAGGGGTACCAGTAGAAGGATGTACTTTAGCTAACCAAGAGGGCACAAGCCTAGCCCTTCCAATAACACAAAGGTATCTTGCTTGTCCAAGCATTGCAACAAGGAGAGAAGCTACAATTCCCAAACTTGCACCAGCTCCCACTACATTGCTTGCCCATCTCCAACCAATGTTTCGAAAAACAACCGAAAATGATGCACCATCTGGAATCTAGGAATGGTCATTTCGAAAAATGTATTTCAATCATGAGGAATATGCATGCATTATGATTGTATGAAAGATGATCAGTCTCAGTTCATTATTGGCGCGCAGCTGAATGTGACTGACCTGATTGTATGGAACCAACAAACACAAAGATACGGCCATGAGACAATAGATTGTGGAAACTATAACAACCGAGCCAACAATTCCAAGAGGGAGGTTCTTTGAAGGATTCTTGATTTCTTCTGCCATGGTTGAAACTGAATCATACCCAATATAGCTGAAATAGACAATGGCGGCACCATCAACGACTCCTTTGAAACCAAAGGGTGTTAGGCCTCCAGGTTTTACCAAATTTTCAGTGGTTCCTTTCCAGAATCCAGCAAAAATGATAAACCCGAAGAAAGCAACATGGAATACTGTCATCACTAGGTTCAGCATGGAGCTTTCTTTGGTGCTACAATGGAGGAAATGAAAGCAAAAAAAAAATCAAGCTTAGATAGCGATGTCAATCATGTAATATAGTATAAAACATATAATAGTTCTATTGGAAGCACTAGATGAATGCTATCATTATTGCCATTGTATTGGATTTCCCACTTCTAACATTTGAAATAAAGATTGTATTACAAATTTCTTCAATTTGAACACCGGCATTGTTTTTTTTATCCAAAATAGGAAAAAAAGAAGTTGTAAAATCACTAAGCAATAAACATCACCATCTCTTAACCATTTAAAATGGGAGCTGACATTCTTTTTCATATTCATATATATCTTGTTAAATGAAAAAAATCCAAATACAAAAACCCTTACTGCCTCTGTCCCAAAATCATTATCCTGTTAATTTATTATGTAACAAGAAATGGTTTAACAGAAAATAAAAGGGAAATTGGAGATGAGCAAAAATATCAAGGCTAGCTAGTTATGAAAATGGAGAAAAGAAGAAGTTATGTTTAACCTATGGCACAAGAAAAGAGTTAGAACAGCAATCAAAGCCACTGCAGGAAAGTCCAACATGTTATAACCCTTCACTAATCCATTAACTTCAACTCTCCATGAATTTGGGTCGTTCCCACCAAAAGTACAACACAAATACTCAGTGAAGCTTCTCGCAACAGCAGCATTCGAAAGTACATACTCCATTAGTATGTTAGCTCCAGCAAAATAACCCACAAATTCTCCTGCAAGAATACTAGCATTAATATGATCAGCTCTAATGAAGAAAATAAATATTGCTAACAATTTGACTGAGATATAGTGAAATGAGATACTGACTAATGAATCGACAAAAATCATCAAATCCCATTCTTTACAGAACTTGTTATAACATCATAATTTCATTTACCCAATCCACACTCTCTCTTTCTTTTTGTTGCATGTTAATATTTATGTTCTTACCAAAAGTGACTCTGAGATAACTAAAGGCGCCACCGGCTACCGGAACTTCAATGGAAAACTCAGTATAACACAAAGAAGAGAGAAGGGCTGAGATTCCAGCAATTATGTATGAAATAAAGACAGAAGGGCCAGAAGTTTGTCTAGCAACAGGACCAGTAGTGACAAAAACTCCTACACCAAGCATTCCTCCAACTCCAAGGGCTACCAAATCATACCAACTGAGTTTCCTCTTCATGTCAGCACCAGACCTAAGTCTCACCTTATTCAGCTCTTGGTCTGGTGTCCAGGTTGCCAACAATCTCTTCTTAAGCCTACTCGGAGTTTGTGAAAGAGAATGAAGGTAAGCTGAGAGATGCATATTATTTCTGAATGCTTCAGCTTGAAGGGTTGCCATTTCTTTCTTTCTTTCTTTCTTTTTTCTCCTCAAATATTATTCAGAAAATCTTTTGGACTTCCATGAGAAGATAGAGTGAAGAAGGTTAAAGGGTTTTTAGATATGGATGCTTTGGGGTTGTGAAAGAGATATAAATGTGTATATTTATATACACACTTGTGTACCGCATGGTGCCTTGTTCAAAGGATGTTGGAGTATCGGGTTATGTGTCTTTAGAAGAAGTAAAAGTACGTACTTGTCCCTTTGGCTTCCATAATCCAAGAAGTGTTAATTTATCTAATTTCAATGCATAACTCTTACTATTGAGAGTGAATTTCGTTTTTCACTAATGCAAAATAGTTAGTACATAAAGATTTTGAGATATGCATTTTACTCTCCCATATGGAGAGTTTGGATCCTTTGGCTTTAGCTATAAAACTCTTTGCGTAACTCATTGAATATTAATAGCATTGTTTTTCTTTGGGTACAAGGAAGGAGGTTAGAGCCTAACAGAAAAAAAAAAAATTAAATTAAATTAAATTAAGATATTTCGTGAATAAGAGACACCGATACCATCCTGCTCCAACCACTTTTCACATCTTGTTATACAACTTTTTGTGTAACACAATCTTTAATATTAATAGCATATTAAATAAAAGTGTCATATCGAAAGTGATACAAATGATCTTTTATTTTTGCCCAAAATTACCCTTTTGGACTGCCTCATTTGCATCAGCTTTTTCAGGGTCCCAAGACTCCAAAGAGGGTTCTTTCTTTCTTTCCTCTCTTTTGAAGAAGCATGAAAAGAAAGGTGGAGAGAAAGGCACAAGTATTTTTTGGAAACAGACTTGTATATGTAAGAGGAATCAAGAGATCAGAATAGACATTATTTTAAGTAATTATAATCTTTTAAATCTGCCAAGTTCACACTTTGGAAAATGAAGAGAAGAGATCTGACACAGGGCATCCAGATTAGTAACTTTGCAAAAAGCAACAAACTAAAAAGCAGTAAAAAAGATCTTCTTTCCGGCGAAGAATAATTGGACTTGATCCCAAACTGAATTCCTGATCATTTTAGAGCATATATACATTTCTCAGTGAAAAAGCATTCCTAAGATGCTTATTTATCCCTTTGCATCCCGCCAAAATCGGCTTTTTCATGCATGCCTCCGTCGTTCATTCATGTAGATTAATCAACTTCTCCATCGATCTTGTACGGACGTATTTTATATAATACCAAAAATATATATTTTATATATATACCAAAAGAAAAAAAGAAAAAATTGAGGAAGAAGAAAAAGGTTGGAACTTTTGTGGAGAAGTGAAAGATAAGCGGTTCTAAACTGCGGAATGGAGAGGGTCTCAGATGACTTTGGAATCTGTCATCGTGGTTGGCTAATTAGTATCCCAACTGCAAGAATTGCTTAATTTACATCAAGAAGTCAGAGAGTCAGCTAATTAAATAATGATGGATTTGTCATGGAAGTGTTTTAAGGGAGCTATATATTATAGCGAAGGTTTCAGGGGTTATTCTTGAAATGTGTTACTTCCTCGGTCCCATAATTATTGTTTAGTTTGAGTTTTCATTTTTAGTTCAAATTGTATTAAAAGTCAAAACCCAAACTGAACAATAATTTGGGACAGAGGGAGTATTAAAAAAAAGTCCACATCAAATTTTAAAATCTGTATGGTTTTCAGTATAATTTCAAAACTCCGTGAACTACTTTTTTAGACAGAAAGACCAACTCATTTGTTGATTCAATGCATTAGAGATATGCTCGAAGCGAAAATTAACCTTTGGGTATTGCGAGTCAAATTTTGTTGTAAGATTTCTTTACCAGCAACTTACTTCACCAACTAGTTTTCAACAACGTTTTGAGTCGCATACTAGCTAAGCTATTTTTTTATTTGTACTGTATGGTTAGAGATTGACGTGATCCGTATTTCCCAACTACAGAATGTGGTACTTTAGTATTGTTCTATGTAACCTCAGGAAACACTGCATAAGATTCATAAATATTAGTCAATTTGTTTAAAAAAAATTATATGATCTACATCAAAATGAGAGTAACAAAATATTCGAAAGGAGGACTACAAAAACAAATATATATGCGTACACGAGTTTAGAACAATTAATTGAAGGCTATAAATTAGTAATATCTGTTGAAGGTTGAGCCAAATATACTAGTTGGCCTAAGTTTAATTAACATCATTTGGAGTTAAACCGCTAATCATATTCAACTTACTATCTAATGAAATTTTTTACGAACTAAAGTCTGTGCTACTTATTAGGTGAATATATTTTTTTATTAAATCTTTAAAACTTAGAGGGGATCAAGATAAACTTCCTAGAGAGGTAAATCGACAATGCAGATGCAGTTGGTTGATGACATTTTCAGCATATATTCACCAAAGATCTGATCATAAAGGTTTATAAAGTCAATTAATTAGGTTTATCTGCCAAGAACGTACCCCATCAGTTCTATCCTATAAACTCATGCAATTCTCTGGGGCATATACCCAAACATTTTTCAGGGCTGCCCCTTTATTTCCAGCAATTAGCCTTTTTAATTAGTCCTTCAAATAGGTTCCTAGGAATAGATATATAGGTTCCTATGTAATTGGTACTCAAGTGAAACTATGTTTTTCTCAGTTATAAGAATAAAGAATAAACCACAAGTCAATTTGCAGCACTAATAAAAAGGGTGATCACCTCATGATAGTTTTTACCAAAGAGTTAGATTACAAATGACCCCTCAAAGTTTTTTCTATTTTCCATATTGAAATATTAATACTCCTATTACTATTCCCCTCTATTTCAAATTAGCAGTCCTTTTCATAAACTATGTTATTTTCACAAAGAGTACTTTTATTTCGAGATAGAGGAAGTATTTCCTCTTAATGGTCTAATGATCAATCTAGTACTTACAAGCAGCTACTTAACTGCCTAAACTTTTCTCAATTTAAGTGGAATCTTTGTGTTTTTAAAGGGAACAACTAGTAGCTACAAAAATAGAAGGGTAGCAAATAAGTAAATAATAAACTTTGAAAATATTACGTTGATTATACTTTCATAGTCTCCAATGGCTTTTTTTTTTTTTTAAAGCGTTTCCACAGTGTTTCTAGAAATGTATTGACTTACTTCATTTTTCATGAGGTATTTGTGAAAATAGAAAAAAAATTTGAAGGGTTTGACAAAAATTACTCTTTTTGAGATGTAAGACTATTTTTGACCCTAATGCTAACATACGAGCATCATGGTAGTGCGCCTTTTGACATATCTCTTTCAAATTGAATAGTTTCTTTCAACGCAATGAGGAGGAAAAAAACTGCACTCTCAACTTTGGTAAGAAATAAAAAAAATAGATACAAAGACTAGATCTAGTCTTTCAACATAAATATTTAATTCTATAAACTGAAAATTGGAACAACTTCTGAAATTGAATATTATTAGAAAAAAAAGGTTTGCATTGGAGCCCAACAAAAGAAAACAAAGAAAAAAAAAGGGAAGAAAACCAAAAAAAAAAAAAACAAAAGAAAAACAAAGAGCTTACAGCTTCACTGGATTTTATTTTTCTTTATTACTCCAACCACCACTTCATACTTCTTCTTCTTGTTGTTGCTGTCTGGCATCTCATCTTGATGCACACGCAATTCATTCGCTATCTTAAATATATTGAGACAGGTTTTATATGTGTACTCATAATGTTTTGTGCCACTCCTTATTGTGAATCAAGAGCTCGCTTTTCTTCGTGAACATCATCGTGATAGCAATATCAAATTCCATTCGGAATCTTGGGGTACATGTTAGCAGGAGTGGCTCTTCCATTAGGCAAATTAGGTCACCTGCTAGGGCCTCAGAATTGGGAGGGCCTCCGGTGTGTGCGTATGTATGCATATATATATATATATATCGAAAAAATTTAGTACTAATCAATATTGACCAATTGTAAAAGAAAAAAAATCGACTCGACATTCATATATGACTTTCTTTATGTCATAGAATAATTAAAAAGTCTCATTACTATTTTTGAAAAAATACAGAAAAGATGGATTCTAAAATGCTATAAATTTAACCATGAAATCGGTGTCAAGATGAACATATAACCTGATTCGAAGAAAAAAGTAAAATTCATAGAAATAGGCATTTTGATGAAAATGTGGAAAATAAAACAATTAAAAGAATTTGCGACCAAAATAGTTACAATATTTGAAATAAAAAAAAGTTTTCTACTCCGACTGTTATAGGCTCATGGGTTTATGGTACGGTCTCAAACTGTTCTCAGTGGACCATTTTTTTCTTTAAATTTCCAATTCAGATCATTATCCATGGTTCTTAAGTTTACTTATTGCTCTAGTCTAAAGTCGGACATTTCTTGCTCAAATCGCCTTTTGGGACATCCAATTCAAAGCCCTACGTAGATGGGACGGTTCAAGAATTTCAATCACCTTGAATTGATTGACTTTCAAATTTGGGACAATCTCAAATACCACCTTTAAAAAATCGACTTGGATGTGATACTAGGAATAAAATGATTTGATTTTCATCCAAAAAATAAAAAAGAGAAAAAAGAGAAAGAAATACAATGATTTGAAAAACATGCAAAAGCAAGATCGAAAACATGCAGATTACACAGTACCAAGTCAGGTTAGGAATGAAAATACTGATCAAGATCCTCCGGATAATATATATATATATATATATATAATCTGAGGTCCGGATAATATATATATATATATATATATATATATATATAATCTGAGGTAAAGAAATCCTAGATTCGTAATTATTGATACTCTTCCCATCCCATAATTATTATCCAGTTTGGGTTTTCATCTTTAGTTCAAATTGTAGTAAAAATGAAATCTCAAACTGGACAATAATTTTGGAACAGAGGAAGTATATATTTAATCATCTAATTTTCAATGTATGACAATTCTTCCTAACAAGTCCATCGACACAAAGACTTGGCACAATTAGTGCCGGAGGAGATAAACAAAACCTCCATATCTCTATAATCAGCGCATATTATCAACGAACAAAAGTGAAAAAGAACAAATTAAAGTACAAGCTTAATAACAAACAGAAATTTAGCATGCCACTAAATTATGTCCAGGGACATTGT